AAGAGAAGAGAAGAGAAGAGAAGAGAAGAGAAGAGAAGAGAAGAGAAGAGAAGAGAAGAGAAGAGAAGAGAAGAGAAGAGAAGAGAAGAGAATTATTTGTGATTAAAACTCCAATAAAATATGGTTGCAGAAAACATTTATGTATGTAAAAAAGGCTGAAACTCTACCCACATTCTAAAGTTTTTAAACAATACTTTTCTCAATAGTATTTCCTTTGTTTTCTTTTGTTTTGTTTTTACTGGGGCTCAAACTCAGGACGTTGTGCTTGCAAGGCAGGCATTCATGCCCTGAGCTGTCTTCCCAGCCCAATATTTCCTTTAATGACATCAGTAATTTGAGATACTTCCTGAAGGAATTTGTTAATTTTTTTGCAATAAGAGGTTTTCTTGGGGCAAGAATCAGCCCTTGATATCATCAAATAAATGCAACCATTCTTTTGTGTAAGAATAGCTTACTTGACACCATAAAAAAGAGTTTATAGATTGTATAAGTTTAAGTATTTTAATTTTCAAAGAAGCAGTTTTCCTTTCCTTATTTGCTTCTCAGATTTAGAAATGTATACCCTTAGAGTTAGGTAACCTCGAACAAAGTTACTCACACTTCATAGATTAACGTGGTATATGGATTATTATTCTGTTCATTTAAATTAGCATATATATATATGTGTGTGTGTATATCAACAAAACATGAATATACATGTTGTATATATTATATTATATATATACATATATATGAGTAACAAATCATTGAAGTGGAAAAAGATGAGTGAGCTAAAACAATTTTGAACTGAATTTTGGACTAAAAGATATTGGTATGCAGATTGTTTGCATATTTATGCACATACTTTATTGAAATTATTGAATGTGACATCTTATTCTCCCTCTCCCTACCTGTTGTTACCAGAATATTATTAATAGAGCAATGCTTAATTTGGAAATCACTGTTTACACAAGGAAGATTTTTCTGATACTCAACAATGAATGCATAAGAGTAAGATTCTTTCTCTCTTTCTCTTTCTTTTTAATTTCCAGGCATAGATATTCTTCATCAACTAGGCCTTGGAGGCGCAGCCGTAAGACACGCATCCCCAGCAGCTGCCGTACCATCATCATCTACACAGTTACCTCAGGGCATCTATTTAACAGAATCAGGTGTCATTTTAAAAAATGATGCTTATATTGAGTCACCTCTCATGAAAGTTTTACCAGTCAATTTAGCACAGCCATTTACAATCTTAATTGCATTACAGTCGCATAAAGTAAATAATGCATTTTTCTTCAGTGTTAGAAATAAAAATAGACTGCAGTTAGGGGTGCAATTACTACCTAAAAAGTTAATGGTATACATCGGAGGAAAGCAATCTGTTTTTTTCAACTATAGTGTTCACGATGGACGATGGCACGCACTTGCCATTACCATTAGAAAACAAGTTGTCTCCATGTTTATTGAGTGTGGAAAGAAATATTTTAGCAGAGAGACTGTTTCAGAAGTTCAGACATTTGATTCTAACAGCGTGTTTACCCTAGGAAGTATGTATAACACTTCTGTCCATTTTGAAGGAATGGTATGTCAGTTGGATATCATCCCTTCTACAGAAGCATCTGCAGGCTACTGTGGACATGTCAAACAGCGATGTCGCCAAGCAGTTGAGCAGCAACCCGAAGCCAACCTTCCTTACACAACTATCACACCAACTAAGAGAATGGAACATTCTTCCCTGCCCCGAAGATTTGCTGAAAAAGTATTGTCAGAGATTACATTTACTGAAGAAGGCAAAAACAGGACAAATATCGTAAGTAATGATTCTACAGCAGAGCCTACGAAACAAGAATACAGGATCCTAGGGTCTCAGCTAACTTCTCTTTACTCAGGAAATCTCTCTGCTCTGGAGCACAAGGATTATGGGATTCGAAACAAAGAAACCGCCGCTGCAGAACATAGTGAGACAAATTTAAACCTGTCAATGGTCCATCCTGGCCTCAGAGAGGCGAGAATAAATATGGAGGAAAAATTTAGTTCTCTGTTAAACATATCCAACAACATCACACAACATGATGCAGAAAGTAGTCTCTCACTGTTTAAGAAGATGTCATCTCTTGTTCCATATACAAAACAAGATACAATTACTAATCTCAAGAAGGCTATCACAACAAATTTACACACTAATGAGCTCTTGGAAATGGAACAGATTTTAAATACAAGCCTGTATAAACTGACACATGATCCATCTGTGGATAATCACCTTGATTCAAGGAAGGAAGGTGAATTTTATTCTGATGCTACGTATCTCATTGAACATAACAACGAAACTGAGCTTTATGATTATTATTATTATGAGGATCTGAACACAGTTCTTGAAATGGAGTATCTGAGAGGGCCAAAAGGGGACCCTGGACCTCCCGTAAGTTGTTTTTTAAAATGTTTGAATGAACTAACTATACATTAATGTTTTAATGCACCAATTATACATGTAATCTCAGGCTGTACAATGTAGAACCAATGAGATTTGGCATAGAAATGTCCCAACACAGCAATTGAATTCTAGTTGCTAAGATGCACTTATTGAATGCAGCTCTGGCTCAAATATTATACTTTTTCTAAAAAAATTGGCAGCCTTGAGAAGGTTAATTCTGGGTAAACTATATGTTTTTGCTTGTTCAACTGAAATCCAACCAGGAAATTAACAGGTTTATGCAGATTATCTTTCTTTAAATAAAAAAGGAACAATCTTAACACATAGTTATATTAAAAAAGAATATGTAAAAGTTATGGTACATTAAAGAAAAATGTACTATACCAATTATTCCTTCAACAAAACAGCATTAAATAGATTAACATACTGTAATCATTGTTATGCAGAAATTATATAGTCAATTACTTACTGAGAAAAATAACTCCTTGATATTATTATTTTAATGAAGCATTTCCATTCTCATGAAGAGAAACATGTATCATTATCTCATCAGTGATATAATCAATTTACATTTAGGGATAAAGAAAGGCTCAACCTATCTAATACAAATAGCCAGTATACACTGGGAGAAAAAAAATCAGCCTGTCAAGTGGAAAAAAAGCCCTCAGCCAAGCTACTTGTTAAATAATATGTAAGCAAAACTGTGAGATGATACACTGAATTTTTCAGCTGATTTTTATTATGCAAGTGAAATTCAAGATTAATTTGAAATCATCTAACATCCTTTTAAAGCCACTTAAAATCTTTTTAAAGCCATTTAAAATTACAATATTATAAACACTGTGTTTGCCTTTCATACTTATGGAACTTAAGTAATTTACCCATGTCTTTAGAAATTAATTTTCAAAACTGCAAACATACTGAAATACATCTTAAAGTACCTATTTAAGGAAAATAAAATTCGAGTCATTGATTTAATTCTAGAAATCACAGAATGAGACAAGATGACATCACATTTTCTTAGACTGTATTTCTCTTGTGGTTATTACTTGAAGCAATTTGATAGAGATGAAACTACTCTAACTAGAATAAATGGTTAAAGATTAAAATTAAATCTAAAGAGTATCTTATTAAGAAACATAAACTCAGGCTGGCCAGATAGCTCAGCAGTCTAAAGCACCTGCTTAGGCAGAGCCCAGTGACCTGGGGTCCATCCCCTGCCTACCGTGCCGTACTGGGCCTGTCTCTGGGACACACTGAGATGGTGATTGAGACTGGGCATGGTGGCACGTACCTGTAATCCCAATACTTGGGAGGCTGAAAACAGGAGAATCACTACAAGTCCGATCTATGTAGTGAGACCCTGTAAACCCTGTAGATCCTTTAGACCCTGTGTTGAATACATAAAAAAGAAACATAACCTTTCCAACTATTATAATTAATTATCAATGTATTAATCATCAAATTGAATTATTGGGCAAGTCTCATTAAAGCAAGAGTTTCCTAAGCCATTTACTTTGTTCAGAAAAAGTCAGGATGATGGGATAAACAATAATCTTTTCTGTAAGTTCCAAGATAATCATTTAGCTTCAGGTAGGTGAAGCAATCAACCTCAACAGAGATTTGCTTGAGTCTCTTCTGAATGCAGGAATATGAAGTGTATACAGCACACTCATTGCTCAGAAAGGATTTAACATTTCCAGAAGAGCAATAAAGGAGTATACATTTATAATTGTATCTTCTGGTAAAGTAAGACAATTTCTCCTGAGAGGTACACATGTTTTATTTGGCAGAAATATTCACAGGTAAGAATAAAATATTACACTAGGAGTATCCATTGACAGTCACTTAAAACTAAGAGCAGTTCAGAAGAGGCTCTATGGACAAAATTAGCTATTCCATAGGCTTGAAGAATGGATAACATTTTGATAGGTGACAGGAGAGGGCATGTTTTTTACACAGTAGCTATCAATACCAAGCTTCTTGTGTTAAACACTCCACCATGTCCTTCACGTACATATGCCCTTTATCTAGGAAGAGCTTTCTTAGGTTATCATCCTCAATTTGTTCAAGTGAAGAGAGTTAAATTCAGAGGACTTATTTTGCTTGCCTACACCAATATTTCTGGTGAGTGATAGAGATGGAACTCAAACCCCAGAGGCAGGTTTTCTGTCTTTAAATCCCAAACTTTTTCTTGATAGGTTAATGTTAGGTAAATAAAATTCTAAGGAAGGTATCACAGGTCGTGTAGAGTCTTACCTGTCAAACTAGCAGTTCCAACTTGCCTTGTTCTTGATGAAGAATTCTGTAGACTCAAATAATGAAAAGTCAGCCTGGTAGTAGTGTCCAAAATGGACAGGAGGTTCCTGTTTCCGTATTGGAGTTATATGGATGACAAGGATGTTTCTCAGGTTGGCAGAAGTGAAAACACAAAGGGAAGGTAGGATTCACCATATATTTTGAGTTAAGATTTGAAAGAATTAGGAAATTCATTGGACCTAGAGAGAGCATGCAAAAAAAAATGAAGAAAATCAACGTGATCACCACATTATAATGCTACAGATTTGAGAATCAAGCATTCAGGCAGAGATCACAAATCTGTGAGCTCTGCAATCGTCAGATGGGCAGCAGCTTTAGATTCTCATAAAAGAGCAAACCTATGAATTGTGCATGTGAAGGATCACGGTTGCACGCTCCTTATGGGCATCTAATCCTGTTATTCTCCAACCTGCAAGCCCGTCTCTGTGGAAACACTGTCTTGCTCAAAACCAGTCCCTGGTGCCAGTAGGACGTGGCCCATTGATTTAAGAAACTGTGACTAGTTCAGTCAGTTGGAAAATTTGAAAATGCCAAAGTGGAGAAGAGAGGGCAAGGCTGGAAACCCTGATTTTGGAATCTTTCCAGTGATATTATAGTAGAAACTATATGGTTAGATTTCCTAGGAAAGGAGCTTGACACAGGATCAAGTAGAAATGCCTAAGAAGAAAATTTTGAGAAAAAATTGATCATCATTGTCAAAAGTTACAGAGAAGTCAGAGGATGGAACTGCTAAATAATGAAATCCTTTGCCTTTTATTATGGGAAAGCCAACTTCACCAAAGTTCAGCAGATGAAAGATAGACGTTAGAGGCCAAATGAGAGAATGATTGATACTTAAATTAGGAACTTTGGAGCTGGTTCTACTGTTGCTTGTTATTGTTGAAAGCCTGAGGATTTTTCCCACTTGTTATTGACTTCCTTCCCCTACATGAATTATATTTGTTTGTTTATTTGTGATACTGGGAGTTGAACTCAGGACCTTGGCAGATGCTTATGCCACTGAGCTATTTCTCCAGCCTTCCCCTACATGTATTTAATGAAGTTCTGTCCCTTTCTTAACTTATAGTTTTCTTTTTATTTAATACATAATAATTGTGCATATGTATAAGTCACACTGTGACAGTTCAATACATTTATAATATGTTGAATGATCAAACCAGGATAATTAGTGTTTCCATTTCATTATTTCTTTGTGTTTGGGGTCTTCAAACTCTTCTCTTCCAGATCTTCCTATATAGATAATAGGCTGTGGCAGACTAGTCACCCTATTGTGCTATAGATTGCAAAATCTTGTTCTTCCTAGTTGTATTTTGGTACATGTTCTCCTACCTTTCTTCAACCACTTATCCCCAATCCTTTCCAGTCTCTAGCAGTCACTATTCCACTCTTATTGATAACTCTTTTAGGTTCCATAAATGAAAAAGAATATATGTTTTTTTGGTCTGGTTTACTGTAATTACTATTTTAAATAATTTTTTGAGAAACAAATATCAATGAGACAGTTTTACAACTGATTACTAGCACATTTTCAATAATTAATAGATTGCATATTGTTGTCTTAGTGGTTATTCACTGTAGAAGATGCAGACATGATATGCTGTCTCAAACACTATTATAACAAACCTCTCTATTCATTTAATTAAGAGAATAGAGCTGTATATCTATCCTATTTTGAGTATAGAGATACAAAAGGGTCATTCATTTCTATCCCACTTTTTTGGTTAGTTTTG